ACAGCCAGACACATGACTTGCACATATTCCCTGTGCTCAGTTCCCACAGGATGGCTTGATGAGGGTTGGGTGTTACTTGCATGTCAATAAGGTACACCAGAGGAGAGCACCCCAAACAGGCTGTTCCCACCCACCTCCGAGAGAGAGAGAGAGAGAGAGAGAGAGAGAGAGAGAGAGAGAGGGAGAGATTACTCATTACCCTAGAATGTAAGCCAGCCTCCTCCAGGAGAGAAGGGAAGTTATCTCTAGGTTTATTCTCAGGGACATAAATCATTATCTCTGGGGAGATGCATCTGAGAGGGATCTTTATCTGCCACGTGAATATGTCCTTTGTTCAGAAGGCCCACTGTATAGGAACACACACACACAAATCCTCAGTCACTCCACCCATGATCATATTGTTTTCTAATATGAATATGGAAAAGGGTTAAATGATTGAAATTTATGAAGCATATTTGGGCCTGGGAGCCTGTAAGCAGGTTAGATGGGAATGAGGGAAATGATGAAGGGGGAAGGTTCGGCATGACTGCAGCTTCTAATTGGATAGTCTGGGGTTAGGAGGTAGATAATAAAAGGGAGGATCTTTTTATTGTTTGATTATTATTATTTTTATGGTGGTGGTAGGAAGTATTTATGGACCTTTTTTGGGGTACCATCTGCTACTACACAAATAGTGGGAAAGTAGAGGCAAAAGAGTCAAAGTTCCACATGTCATGCAGACTCAGATTTTTTTATAGGGTGGCAGTGGGGTCTTACTAGTTAGGAAGAATTAAGGATTAGGTATTCACTTAACTCTTCCTTTGGAAATTGGGCTTTAGAGGAAACTTAATCTTGCCTAAAATAGCACTTTCCATCTTCTGGGTCTTCAAAATTGGCTGGGCTCTCGGTCCCACAAAGCAGATACCTGACAGGCTCTGGGTACATGAGAAATTAAATGGTATCCAATCCAGTAAGGGGTTCTTATGGGCTGCTGTATTTTATGTAGTTGCAGGGGTTGGGAATCCAGAGATGCATTTTTCATTCTAAGCAGTAGAAACAGCAAGGTGTGGTGAAGAGTCCTGGGTCAGGAGTTAGAAGGTCAGGGTGGCAGTTTTGGCTGCGTTGTTGACCAGCCATGGAGGCCTGAGATCTGGCGAGGCTCCCCCAGCCCTTTGTTCATCTTTAACTTTGGTGTGTGTGTTGGGTGGAGGGAGGAAGACTGGCTCCTCTGCAAGTGTCTTGATGATCAAGTGACGAGCATTTCTAGAGTGTGAAGAGCTTGCCCTTGTAAATTATTATTACTGAGCCATTGCATTTGAGTCTGAATTCCATAAATATTCAGCAAAGGTGTTCAATATATTTTGGGTATTTGAAGTAAAAGGTGTTAACGCTAATTTCTCCCCCTCTTGTCGCTATGTGAAAGGAACTATTGTCCTTGCCTTCTCTGAGGCTCGAGAAATGGGTAAATCCAGGCTTCTTTGTGTGAAGGGAGATTATAATTCCTTGTCTGTGCCTCCTCTATGATGTATAGAAATTTCTTGAATTCTTATATCTAAAGCAATGTACAGCAAATAGAAAATAGCACTGTAAATAAATAAGAGTTTCTTATCATCCACCCACTGGGTTAAACATGAGAGCTTTTGGTGGAAAATTCTCTCTCTCTTTTTTTTTCCTGGTTAAGATTTACTTTTAAGGAGAAGCTTTCTTTTTCTTTGGCATCTCTGGTATTTAAAATAGAATTTTATTACCCAGGGTATCAAATGACTGTATATTATCCAATGTGCAAAAGGTACTCTATTTGGATTGTTATTAAAATGTCAATTATGATTGCATCACTTTAAAAGTTGGATATTTAATCTGAGAAAATAAACTAAATATATACCCTCCTCCTGTGTTACAGGGACTTGAGTTCTAACTTTCTTTCTGATATATAACTACTGACTGCTATTTACACGAGACTGTGCTTGATTCTAATGTAATAAATCACACCCTTGTTACAGCTTGTCTTCAAAAGTTCACATGCTTTTCCTCTTTAGTCAGTTTAAAACATTACAAGCCACTCTTTATACCCTTTATATTTAATTATTGCTCTTTTATAGACTAATTGCATAGGCCAACATTGGGTGAGTTTATAATTTTGGTACCACTTGACCTTCTGAATCTGCACATTTTATTTCAGGCCTGAGAACCAAGTGAAGGTGGAAGGATAAAGGAAAATATTATGTGGCTTCTCAGGTACAAGAGATGATGGCTAGCTGGGTTTGGTGGCTCACACCTGTAATCCCAGCAGCTCAGAAAGCTGAGGCAGGAGGATGGCAAGTTCAAAGATAGCCTTTGCAGCTAAGTGAGGCCCTAAGTAACTTGGTGAGACCTGTCTCAAAATAAAAAATAAAAAGACTAGGGTTGTGACTCAGAGGTTAAAGCCTCTGGGTTCAATCCCAGGTACCAAAAAAAAAAAAAAAAAAAAAAAGATGATGATTAAGACTGCTCTATTCTGGTGTTCTAAGAGTCCAAGAAGAGAATGGGGTGGATGAGAAGAGAAAACATGTTTCTCAGAGAGGAATAGAGACACATACTATGTAACATTAATGTTGCAAGGAATCAACAAATATGTGATATATATCTCACATATTTGTGTATTTTTGGGGGGTATGGTGATTTAACCCAGGTGTATTTAATCACTGAACCACATCTCCTACATCCCCATCCCTTTTTATTTTTTATTTTGAGACAGAATCTTGCCAAGTTGCTTGTAACCTTGCTAAGTTGCTAAGGCTGCCCTTGAACTTGCAATCCTCCTGCCTAAGTTTCCTAGGTCGATGGGATTACAGGCATGTGCCATGGCACCCAGTTGCTAAAGTGATCCTTTAACCTTGAGTGACAAAGATATCAATCGATCAGACTCATGCAGCCATCTTATTTATCAAGGGGAAAGTCAGACAAGAACCCTGTTCTGGGTTGGATCTTGACCATGTCCTCTATCTAACAGGGTTGCACTCTTCCTACCTAAGGCTGCCAAAAGAGCTCCAGAGAGGGGAGACCCTAGCAGCAGGAAAAATGTCGACTTTAGAAGGAGGTGTTAATGGAATTTAGTTCAGATTTCATTTCCTGGAAAAGAGATCAGTCAATGTTATGAACTACTAAATGTGACTAGATTGCTTAAGAACTGGTGAAGATTTACAAACTCCTTGGGTTATTTCCTTTGAATTGCAGTTGACTTTTATGCATTTCTAGGCATACTGGTTAGAATAATGGGTGGAACTGGTGATTGTAAACTTTTCTGTTTCACACCTGTTAGAAGTTCATAAATTGCAGTTCTTTTCTTTTCAAAACAGAGTATTTTCCAAATAATTTAGATAGTGTTCTGTCTTGGATATTACAAACAAATTCTTTGTACTTGGGATGTAAAATAGCAACTTGGCTAGTTGCTGGAGTTATGACTATAATCACGTGAGTTCAAAACACCTGGAATCCTCATCAATTCTTGGGAAACACTGCCACCATTGTCCACTAGTGGTGTGAGCTAATTGTAGAGTTACTGTGCAATAACCTTTAATTTGGGTCCTAATAAAATCATAACTCCATTGGAAAGTTTGGTGCTTAGTCATTAGATTCTTGCTTATGCTCAGTAATTTCTGCATTAAAAGAAAGGAATACAAAAATACAAAGAAGAAAATGTATCTACTTGCACTTAAGGGCTATGGTTACAATATTTCTTAAGTAGGATTATGCAGTATGTGTGTGTGCGTGTGTGTGTGTGTACTACTCTGGAGTGCCTGGATATATATTTTGTAAAGAATAAATACACCTTGGATGAGGATGTGCACAGGGAAGGTATCTGGTTCTAGTGAGGACAGCCCCTGGCCCCCATTTCAACATAATAGGTGGCAAACAACACAGTTGAGATTCCTCACATGGCTAGTGCCATAGCCTATCTTTTTCAATGTTACTGGACTGATGGATTATTAAGACATCGTCTCAAGTTTTTAAAACAAGACAGCCTACTAACAAGCAGAACTGGGTATTTTAGAAAATCTTCACAGGGAAAGAAGATAGATTAAAACTGTTTATAATATTGTTTTGAAAAATCTTTTCACTTATTACTAATCTTTTAATTCTAGAAGGTGGCAATGATTTCAAAGATGGACAGATCTCACTTCCTTGATCAAGCTGTCCCGGACCTCTTGCTGGGCTCTCTCCTGCCTCTGATGTCAGACGGGCTCTGATGGTGGCATCTATTGTTTGTGCTCTTCACTCGCCAATGAACCTCATGTGGTTTCGATCTGATTTTTTGTCTTTGTGGATAAGCTCACAGTCTCCTTGTGGGGAAGGCACACTCTTATGTGTCTTGTTTTTTCTTAGCATAGTGACTTACATATGTCTCAAAAATATGTCTGTTGATTTGATTTGCTATAGAATAACTTCAGCAGAGTTAAAGAAGTAATTTTGCTCCTTTCCACAGCAGTAAACCACCATTAGTTTGTTACTGTAAGGTTGCCTAAGGCCAGATTTTCAGACTAAAAGTGAGCGTTGGTCATCCATCAAGGAAACAGAATTGTTTAGCACAATAAACTTTTTAGTGTACATTTGGCCTAAAGGAATTTTTTTTTTTTTGTCTATCTGTATGGCCCAGATTCTTCAAATAACGACATATTCCTTGTGTTTATGTTCCTGGTTATCAGAGAAATCTAAGTCTAATCTAAAAAGGCAGAAAATGCACTCTAAATGTGGTCTA